CCATGCCTCCAGGACACAAACAAGGCTCCTCTCCAATTTCAGGACACACACCAGGCTCCTCTCCAATTTCAGGACACCCAACAGATGTGATTCTGCCTCCAGAACAACTGCAAGGCACCACTCCACCTCCAGAACACCCACCAGATGCCCTCCCACTCCAGGGCAGCCGCCAACAGCCAGTCCACCGCTAGGACACCTGTCAACATCCGTCCCGCCTTCAGGACATCTGCCAATCACAGCCCTACATCCATCAGCAGTCACTCCGCATGCAGCACACCTCCCTAACTCTGTCCCGCACATAAGACACCCACCAGCAGTCACCCAACATTCAGGGCACTCATCGGTCGCCGCCACATTCCGGGCACCCAAAACCATGCAGTCAGCAGAGTAGTCTCATCTGACCCCAACGAGTTAATTCCCCCTCTCACCGGCCGGGGTCCCGGGGAAAGCGGAAGAAGGCTAGATCGGACTGGGTGCTCTTTCGAGTGCAGTTGGGGGCGGCGCAGAAATTCGGCATTGTCGCCCTATATCGGGTCACCCTCCGCCTCCGCCTGACAGAGCGGCCCGCTGGCTCCACACTGCTGTGCGCGGCCCGGAGGATTCACACACCCTCACCAGCATGCACCGCGCCCGGCCCCGCCTCCCCATCTGCCACTCTATGGTACGGGATTCTCACACAGAGCACTGGCCATGTTCAACCATAGAGACGTGCGAGGGAAGGGCAGAGCGGCCTGCTTGTGGATGACTTGACTGTGTGCTGGCCTGGTGGCTGGAGTCATTTATTGCATTGTACACAGTGTGCACGTTGTCAGCACTCAGTATCATTGGCAATAATAGTAAAAAGAAAAATGCTATAATAGTAATAATAATATGGCAGTCATAATAAAAATAATAATTCCATAGTTATATTATAATTATATAATATAATGAACCACCTCAGGCGTCATATCATTGGGTCATGTGGGGTGGGGGGTCACCGGATAGAAGTACCATGCACCCACAACATGCTGCCAACAGCAACCCCCTCCCCGGTAATGCCCCAGTGTCGCAAGCACTACCCCCTCTTCCCACAGTAACGTGCACCCAACACCACCACCAAACAATGTTCACCACCAGCGACCCCCCACCCCCACCAGGCTTGGGCGGCAAAAATTGTAGGGGTGACCCTGGCCCCAGAGCCTGACAGTTGTTCATTTTCAAAGCTTAGCTGAACAAAGTGAGGAGAGAAGCTGAATGGTTACTATTGGCAATTGCTCCAGTTTATGTCTGCACAATTTTTGATAAATGTCCCCCATTGCGTTTTGTGAATGTATTACAGAATACAAAACGTTCTGTGAATGGAGAAGGGGAGAGGAGGGGAGGACAAACAAAAGGACTCTGTATGAGGGCTGGTGCAGACTTAGACCATCCCGGGACGCGCATCCCGGGACTGCACGATCGTGTACGGCAGCACACAGCGGTGGCCGCGCGGCCCCTTTGTCTTTAATCGGGTTACATATGCACGGCAATCGTTGAAAAAAGGTACAAAGGGCAGTGATCCAGGAAGCGGCCATACCTCATAACAGTTAACTATTTGTTTTTGTTAACTGTCCCGTCTGCCGCCGCCGCAGCAGAAGGACTCGTAGATCACAGTGGAGTACAAGCGCGGTGATGTCATCGCACTTGCAGTCTATTAATAACTTCCTCCAGTCCCATAACCGAAAGTTCATTCCACCCTATAGACCTGGGGCTGGAGGAAGAGTCTGCAGGAGCCTGAGCATTGCACTTGTGCTTTGCAGGCCCAAATGCAAAAAAATTAATAAATATATATATATTTAGCACCTAGACAAAAACGAGCACTTAACCCCTGCAGTGCTGGGGTAGCCCCACTGCAAGCGTTAATAACATTTTTGCCAGTAGTTCTGCTTTAAGCCCTGAAATGCGTAGGCTATTCTTTTTTACTCTATGTGCATATACGGCCGTATAATAGCAAATCCCTTGCAATGCTGCAGTAGAGCCAATCACTCCAAGACTAGTCATGGAGAATTTTTCTCTGATTGGTCGGTTTCCAGTCTTATACCCCACTCTCAGGGAAAGCAAGCTACGATTCTGATGAAGGGGGCTTGCCCCTGAAACGCGTCAATCTTGGCTGACTGCGGTCGGTGGACGGTGAGGTGAATGGAGGCTACCGTGTTACATAGTCGGGGTGATACCATGTTGGGTTAACAGACACTGTGGCCTCTCGTTTGTTGTTAAAGCGTGATGAAAACGTTTGTTTGTGAGTACTTTTATCCCTTGTTTTATTTCTTGTAATAAATGATTTTACACACGGAGGTGGCGCTCTGTTCCCTTTTGTTTTCTATGTTCGTGGTGGAAGCCCCAGAGCCTTGGTTGAGCAGCCCCTCAAGTCTGTGTGAAAAACTGTGATAAACTGTTGAAAACTTTGAGTGTGCAACAGCAAGTGGATAGTTCAGCTGGCAGCCATTAGCGCCAAGAGCTAAAGAAACCTTTTTGTCTCATGTGCTGTAGTATGCACATGTGCATGTGCCTGCACTGGTTTTCTTATGCTAGAGCAAACCAGATCTTCCTTATTCCCTAAAATCTCAACAGATCTGAATGCCTACCAAAATCCAGCTCTCCACCAACATATCTTTATTAAAGGAGAACTATGAGGTGAGTGCTTTTCACTCACCTCATAGTTCTAGCCGACCTGTGACAATGAGACTGTCACAGGTTGGCTCAGTAGATCGGGAGGTGAGCGAACACATACCGGCGCTCGCTCACCTCTCGATCCTGTCACGGCTCTCTGCCGTGACAGGGGAGGGGCTGGATTCCCCGCTCCGATCCGCCAGCGCTGACTGGTGGAACGGACGGTGGGAGGGGGCGGGTACAGCTGGCTCTGCCTCTAGATAGGCAGAGCCAGCTGCATCTCGCGCAACTGGGCGGATCTCGACATCGATGTCGGGATCCGCTCCGGCTGCAGCGTCTCAGTATACTGAGCTTAGGGTAACGGGAGGACGCTAGTTTGTGTCCTCCCGGCCGTTACCCTAAGGAGAACTATGGGGAAAAGCCCTGACCCCATAGTTCTCCTTTAAAGATGGCATGACTTTCTGTGTTACTGTTACTGTTCAAGGAATACAGCGGCGTTTTCCCCAGTGCTACCAGCCTGCTGCTTGAACAATGGAGGAGCAAGAGAAGACTGATGAGGTCATCCCTCTCCTCACTCTACTTTCTCCTCCTATGAGCATGTTCTTTGTCAGAACATTTGCATGCAATACATTTGATTGGCAACCAGTGCTGCCCTTCCTTCTCCCAGTCTGAATGATGCTGTATAGGGCATTACAAGGGGTCTGATACCAATTCGGGTACTTATAATGCTTGCATATACAACACGTGTAATGATGTATTAATGATTACAGAGCTGCATTCATTTGTGTCTTCTATATCTGCCTGGAGTCCGCCATAATGTACATGGATGCTTGAATACCTTCCTTTGATGTTTCCAGGAAAAAGCTTCCATCTGGATTCCTTTTTATTAAGTTCCCCTTCCAGCAGACAGCACACCTGCGCGTCTTTCACCCTCCGCAGCTACGTTGTGTTTTTCATGCCGCTAACAATTCCGGCGCGCGGATAAGCCAGCGGCTACGGTTTAAACCATCGCAAAACGAGCCAAGGGATTTACGCCGCCACTCAATCCTGCAAATCGGGTCCGGTTTCTCACTCAGCCGCACGTTTCCAGTGACGATTTCAAGATGGTAATTTCCTCCAGTACTTTGGAAAGCAATCGCGAGACGGGAGGGCTGTCATCATGGCCGCCGCGTCAGGAAACGGGCCGTCGTATCTGACAGCTGCTTAGTTGCCGGTGTAAGGGGCTGAAATTGAGAGAGACGGTTTAACATCTGGTCCACAGATCAGATATATAGAAAGAGGGGGAAGATATTGTGCAGAAAAAGTTATGCAACATTATGCTGGTTATAAAGTGAACCTGTCATTAGTGAACCTGTTACAATAGCAGAAGACCCTAAACCAGTGGTCATGTACAGCCAACTCTCCCACAGGGGCAATGTAAGCACCTAAAGGCGGCCCTGTCCATGTCGCTATCTTATGTTAAATGAATTGTAATTTCTTCCACCTTCTCTCCATTATACTCCAATACACTATAACCGCTTCCACTCTCTGTATCCCGTCCTTATATCTTATAGATTGTAAGCTCTTTTACCGTCCATATCTCTCCCATATACCACAATAGTCAAATAGAATTTACCTCTTCCATTGTCTGCATCCCCTTTATACCCTAATAGATCATAAACTCTTCCACATTCTATATCCTGTCCTTATATCTTAATAGATTGTAAGCTTTTCTACCCTTTGTATCTCTTCTTCATAACCTAAGAGAATGTAAGCTCTTCTTCTGTATACCATAATAGATTGTAAGCTCTTCTTCTGTATACCATAATAGATTGTAAGCTCTTCCCCTTCTGTATCTTCTCCTATATCCTAATAGATTGTAAGCTCTTCTCCTTCTGTATCTTCTTCTATATCCTAATAGATTGTAAGCTCTTCTCCTCCTGTATCTTCTCCTATACCCTAATAGATTGTAAGCTCTTCTCCTTCTGTATCTTCTCCTATATCCCAATAGATTGTAAGCTCTTCTCCTTCTGTATCTTCTCCTATATCCTAATAGATTGTAAGCTCTTCTCCTCCTGTATCTTCTCCTATATCCTAATAGAGTGTAAGCTCTTAGTCTGTATACCATAATAGAGTGTAAGCTCTTCTCCTTCTGTATCTTCTCCTATATCCTAATAGAGTGTAAGCTCGTCTACTTCTGTATCTTCTCCTATATCCTAATAGATTGTAAGCTCTTCTCCTTCTGTATCTTCTCCTATATCCTAATAGAGTGTAAGCTCTTCTTCTGTATCTTCTCCTATATCCTAATAGAGTGTAAGCTCTTCTCCTTCTGTATCTTCTCCTATATCCTAATAGATTGTAAACTCGTCTCCTCCTGTATCTTCTCCTATATCCTAGTAGAGTGTAAGCTCGTCTCCTTCTGTATCTTCTCCTATATCCTAATAGATTGTAAGCTCTTCTCCTCCTGTATCTTCTCCTATATCCTAATAGAGTGTAAGCTCATCTCCTCCTGTATCTTCTCTTATATCCTAATAGATTGTAAGCTCTTCTCCTCCTGTATCTTCTCCTATATCCTAATAGAGTGTAAGCTCTTCTCCTTCTGCATCTTCTCTTATACCCTTATAGATTGTAAGCTTTTACCTTCTGCATACCTTCTTCTTCACCTTTGAAATATTGTGTTATGTGTGCATTCGTTCTGGTCCAAACTAACATTCAACAAAAATCAGCAATTTTTGAATGTCCAAATGAAAGAAATAATAGGTCTGGTAGGAATTTTAGGAGGGACCCCATGTAAAAAAAATAAATAATGCATGGGTTCCCCTCCAAAATCCCTTACCAGACCCTTGATCTGAGAAGCAGCCTGGCAGTGCAATAAAGGGAGGGTACTATCGTGCAGTTTCCCCCTGTGCCATACCAGGCCCTCAACATGGGCAGAGTGCTTTTCCAGAGGGGCTTCTTCCCCACAACCCTGGCCCGGTGGTTGTGGGGGTCTGTGAGTAGGTGTGAGTAGGGGAGCTTATCTGGGTGCC